AAGCTCTCCTTCTCCGCCATTGTCAAACAGATCGGAACTGGGTGTGAAGCTCTTCCTTCCTTTAAGAACTCCCCACAGACGGCGCCAAATGATGGGTCTACTTCTGGATCTGGAGTAAACCGGTGGTTGTGAGCTCAGATCTGCTTGAACCGTCTTTAAACCGTTGTTAGACCGCAAGAATACCTGCAAAAAACTCAACGCCGGAGGTGTTTCCGGCGTAGAGCCTCCGACGCTCAAGTCAGTATGAGAGTGATGAAGAGGGGCTGCGCAGCAGCTATGGGGGAGAGTGGGAGTGAATGAGAGTTAGGGTTTAGGGTTACCTCATCTCCTTTATATAGGAGTGAACACTTACGCAGAGTACCCAAAATACCCCAATCGGTGGACCTAGAAGGTCCAAAATGCCCTGGTCGATTCGTCTCCCCTTAGTGCTGAGTCACCGCTAGATTCCTTCTTATCCTTCATAATAGGTAGGATTTCAAGTGTATTACAAGTGTGATGAGTCGTCGTCATATCTTTGTTACTCGAGGTATGTGGAGTCGACTTCGAGATCTAAGAAGTCGACTCGTGGGTATGTGCGAGTTCGGAGGCTACGCTTGACTAGTTCTTTGAGTTGAAGTCATCTTCAGAGAGTCGTCTTAATTAAGTCGACTTCTTGGGGTCGACTTAGAATATCTGGATGAACGGGAGCTGTACTCTCGTTGTTCCTCTTCTTACTGATGTCGATTAGTGAGAGTCGATAGGTCAAGGTCGACTCGAGGGAGTCGACTAGACCCATCTCTGCTTGATTGCTCTTAGTAAAATCTTCCTTAGGGAAAGTCGATTTGGGCATGTCGGCTGAATCATGTCGACACGCGAGTAATGCGAGTGGTTTGTTGGTTAAGGAGCTTCTGGACCGGGCTATACTTATGTGGCTATATCAGATGTTATTTTAGATAAAAATAATAATTTTTATTAAGTGTTTAAATAATTAAATAAAAACTTATATTCTTATTTTTTATATATAAATTTCTTATTAATTAACATCTCTTGAGCTAGTCTGCCAGGTGCAAAANCCCGTGTGTTACATTAATAATTGGTAAAATAATTAAATGTAAAATAAAAAATAAAAAATTATATATTTCATTGAAGTTGAAAAAAATAAATAAAGAACAATATATAACAATTTATAACAAATAACTAAGTGAACCAACAATATTATTTTAAATTCCCAAAACTAATTTATATACATCATTAATTTTATTTATAATATTTTTATTTAAAACATATAAGAAAATAATATAAACAAAGCACAAATTTTGAAAAAGTAAGAGTATATGCACATTATAGAAAGAAAATAGCAAATAGATTTATATGGAATTGTTTAAATATATTAAATATGTACATATATATATAATATTCCGAAACTAAGTTATTTGGTATAAAAAAATAATTTGTATCCAATCATTCAATTTTCAAATTCTTCTATCAAGCAATCTTACTACGATTCTTTTCATACACCACTAAACCCATCCAAACCCATAACGTGGACTTCACTTTTGGACTATTATAGTATTATCATCATAGGTGGTAAGGACATGTCCAAAAACCTCAATCAACCAAATTAAAAATTTGTTGCATTTAAAATTAATCCAATAATGCAAAATCCTGATGTCACCCTTTAATTTGTTTGAGCTGCTTCAAAGCCTATTGCAGCCCTCTAGATTTGTCATTTATGACTTGGCTACTCCAGTACGCACTCACCCAATAGATATTTATATATACTTTAGTTGGGCCAACCTTGTATGATTGGTATAATAGAATGAAATTTAATATGTATGGAATGAATATGAGAAATGAATAAAACAAGTTTTTTCATTGATGTGTTTGGTATGCAGAAGGAATAAGACCTGAATGGAATGAAATTATCATTTATCATTATTTTATAAAAAAAATTAATATTTATATTAATATTATTTTTTATTTATGATAATAATAAAATTATTTTATTTTTTAACAAACTATACTATATTTTAATAAATATATTTTCGTATTGCTACACTCATATATATTACATAATATATTAGTGAATTGTGTATTCATATACCTATTAACTAATACAAATATATCATTACATAAACCCCTATAAGTATATGTGATTGAATATATATTTTTTATATTATAGTTCAATTTATGAATAAATATATAATATATATGATGTATAAAAATAAAATAATATATTTTAAAATTATTTATAAATGTATTTTTTCGGTTTATTTATATATAAAATGGTTTAGACATGTGCGTAGGAGAGACTTCGAGACCCAGTGAGAAGGACAGAAACATTCGAATTAAGAACGGAAAATAAAAGAGGGATGGGTAGACCTAAGAAAACTTGGAAGAAAACAATAAAAAATAATTTAAACTATTTAAATTTGAATGATGATATGTGTTTTGATCGAGCACAATGGCAAGATGAGATCCATATAGCCGACCTTGGGATTTTAACAACTTCTTGTTGTTGTTGTTGTAGAAATTGTTAATATATCTATTTAAAATATGAACAATAAATAAAATTAAATTTTTAAATTTTTTATTTGAAATTTACTTTTTAAAATAATTTTATGTTATATAATTTAATCATGATTTTTAGTATATGTTATATATTTATTTATTTATTTTTATTATTTATTAATTTTATTGTTTGAAAAATTGATTCCTACAAATATGGGAATGAGAAAACCTTGCATTTGCTATGGAATGAGTAATCCCACAGAGATAGGTTTTGCGATTCCCAATAGAATGGTCATTCCTTTCAAAAAAGTTTACCAATCATGGGATAGGGAATGAGTGAAGGAATGATCATTTCATTCCCTATCATTCACTCATACCAACATGTCATAAAGGCTAATCCTAATTTCTAAGTACATTACAAATATATATAGTAAACAATACTTTTTTCCAAAATATAATAAAAATAAATTTGATTTTAAACATAAAATGTACAATAATTATAAAATCAAAAAAATACTTTTATAAAATATAATAAGTATAATATTTTTTAAAATCTTGGTATTTAACTATACTAATTATTATTTTATAAAATAAAGTTTGTAAGTTAATTATGCATAATTTTAAAGTACTTTTATGACCCTGCCTAGACCCCAACTAATTCCCGCCTTGACGCTCTAGACGCTAGACTCCAACTCACCGAACGTCTCGAGCCTTTTAGAACCTTGTTATTTAATAATGAGATCAACAATCACCCACAATGGAAACAATTTAAAAAAGAATGATCTGTATGCGATGACATCATTATCGTATGTATAAAACAGAATTCCTACTTGCATGTGGGGCACGGCTCCTACATACATTTTCACCCTTAATTTCGCATACACTCATGTAAATGTTGAGTGTGTGCAAATCAATGGTGAAAAAGCATATACCCCACATGTCTGGTCGAATTTGCCATATATAATGATAACTTTTATGAAACACTATGAAATTAATGTTATGTCACATAGCATCTCAATTCACAAACTTTCGGCTACTATATTTTATGCTTTGAGATTATTAAGCTTTTGATTTCAGTTAAGTTTACCAAACATATATTTATTGTAACTAAAAATAGAAATATTATAAAACTAGAAAACTTAAAAGAGTACAAAAAGAGTGTCAACTGACACTAAGGAAACAGACAACCTGGACCTACCCCTTGGAACAACACAAGTGTCCAAAGGTATAACCTCTAATAAGGAGATGAAAAACAAACACAACTCCAAAAAGGAGATAAAATTCCACAAGGGAAACTAAATGCCAGACACCGCTGGACTTAACGAAACAAAACAAAAACAAAATAAGACTAAAACAGTAAAACTACACACACCTAATATACTAGAGTAAAACCTCCCCTAAAACTAGCAAACGAACCATACGATCACCAAAACTGACAACCGAGTCCCATCCACAACCAAGAACCTCAAACGAGCAGCAAAACTAGACTTCAAATTCGAAAACTGCGGCAACTCAAACCGCCTAGACGAGTTTTCATCTAAATCTGAACCCAAATAGCTTCGGGACTAGGGGAAAAGAGGGGAACCACCAAGAAAATGCCGGAGGACTCGAGACAAGAGACCAAGGAAGGACCAAGCGGCTCGCAACCGAGCAGTCCGGCCCAGCAGACCTGACCCCCGAGAAGCTGACCAAACACGCACCTCCAGGGTGCTGAAAAGGAGCTCGCGAGATCGGGACGTCAACAATTCGGTGGGCTCCCGCGACTGGGCTGAAAATGGCCGACGACCCCTCCGGAGCCGAGAGGATAGGCTTGGTGACAAGAACCACGGCCAGCCACGATCCCACAGGACTCCGAAAGGGGCAGAGAAGAAGGCCCTAGCCGCGACTCAGTCAGAATAGCTTGGATTGCGCGAGATTCACTCGTCGGAAGAGGGGGGCGCCGATTCTACAGATCTGGATTGCCCC